GGCAGCCCGGGCTCGGCGGCGGGGGCGGCGGAGCCGGCCGCCCTGGTTCCGCAGCATAGCTGGGCGGCTGACTCAGTCCGCCGCGACGTGGCCGCGCCTGGTACCGCCGCCACCTGGCCGGCGCACCTCGGGCCCGAGGCTCTGGGCCGGCGAGGCCGGGGAGGCTGCGAGCGCGCGTCCGGGTGCGGAGACGGGCGAGGGCATCGCCCTCCCGGCAGCGAGACGCCGAGGCTCCCGCCGGCCCGCTGGCCTGTCAGTGCGCGCGGATGGGGGTTCCTTGTCAAAGGGACGAACTTCACCGCCACTGATGATTAGTATCGCTCTACTAACTCCTGTCCATGTTGCCTCAGCGTTTCCCAGACGTACGATTCATCGAGGGCGTTCATGTTCCCAGGCTGCGTCTTGGCACAATTGCGTTCAGTGGACCCGGGGACCTCTGTTTACCAAGCTCCCTGCTGATCAGGCTGAGCCCATTCATTCTATAGGATTCTCCCGCAAATCGTCCCTGTGAGGAAGGAGTTAGGGTCCCCATTTTGTAGTTGATCAATCTGAGAGGCAAAGCACCTTGCCCAAGCAGACACACCTTTAAAGGCTGGAGGTGATGTTCAATTAAAAGTCGAACTCTTTCCCCTGAAGCATACAGCCTGCTCACTGATTTTCTAAATCCTCTTTGTTTGTTTGTTTGTTGTTTGTATGTTTTTCTCCCCAAGGGGAGGGATAACCGTGCCCCCAGTCCTTCTAGCACCTGCGATTGTTAGATTCTGGACGGGACGTTCCCCCTTGGAGTTGGACCTTGACACTCTGCTCTGGGAAGTGATGATAAGGAGGCAGCAAAAGAAAATGGAATTAAAATAAAAGAATAGAATCCTTGTGTGCCCCCAGTACCTAAGGGTCCATAAAATCATTTGTTGGCCGGTGAGTTTAAAGGCCAACCCCTTATTTATACTTTTATTTTTTTAAAAATCATCATCTCCTCACAGACTGGACCTGAAATTCTCTCCCTTAGAAGATGGAATGCCCTTATCTTTCCCCTGTACTGTTGATGGGAACAAGCAATTAGGGAAAGTGGTGAGCTTATTATGAAAATGAGATAATTGGTGAAGTCTAGCGAGTGGGAGGCTTCCCAGGAGCCCAGGCCCTGGGGAGGCCTTGCGTTCATCAAAATACCTGCCCGCCAGAAAGCACCCTCCTGCCCCAGAGATACTGAAGCAGCCGTGTGGTGTGTTCCAGAGACACTACGTCCTGTTTCTTTAGAACTAAATGCTTCATAACAATCCCCAGGAAAGCTTGTCGTCAGGAAAGTTGTTTTGTTTTGTTTTGTTTTGTTTTGTTTTGTTTTGTTTTGTGTTTTTTGTGGGGTTTTTTGGCATTTTTCTAAATAGCAACGATTGTCTTTTCTTTGGATTCCTGTAGAATTTTATTTATGTGACTCTTTCCTGGCTTCCTTTTAGATCCATATTCTCTTCGTTGTTTTGTTTTGTGTTGTTTTCTTTCCCTTTCAGAGTTCTCACATACTATTCATTTATTTTTATTTTTGTAAGCCATCCTAACTCCCTTTCTGAACAAGGTAGGTTATAAATAAATAAAAAATTCTTACATCAGTTATGGTATGTCTCAGAATGCCAAGCACTGTTTTGTTTGTCCTCAAGTCACTTCTCCTGGTAGATTTTATAAACTAACTGGGACTGTGCCTCTGTGCAACAATGTCTTAGTTTCTTGATTATTATTCAGTCATTTATTGTTTAAAGAACTTATTGAGCTCTTACTTTTTGATAGTTTGAGAACACAGTGGTTAGTAAATACAACACAACCTCTGGATTTACAATCTTCTCTGAGGGGAAATAAAGTTAAGAGCTATGAGGCACCCTGATGATTTAAGAATAGCTCTGGGAAGTAATGAAAAACAAAGCTCCCCCATTGAATGTATACATTGGTTATAACATGTACTCTGGTTTAAGAACCTTAATGTATGGAGGAAAATAAAAGGTGTCTGAGAAAATATGGCAAAAGCTACCTTTTATGAATTGCTCATTAATAACACCAGGTTCTAGCCAAATATCTAACATACGTGTTGTATATATACAACATTTATGAGTTGCAATTTTTTCCCAATTTTATTTATACAGGCTTAAATGATACTTAAAGATGTTAAGCAGTAAATAGTAGATAAATTGAACACAACTGGGCTGTATTTGTAGGCTATAAAAACTATGTAGCAGCCTTCATAGTGAGGTGTTCAGGGATCAAACTAGACAGGAAAATTAACTTTATAAAAATTGAGGCCTCTTACCCAGAATGCACTGCTTCTGAAAGAGACCGTTTGAGAAAGTGGAAATCTTCCTTCTCTCCTCCTTTCCCTGCCTTTCCTCCTTAACGTTTCCCTTGCATTAAGGAGGCTAACACCCACAGAACATTTAGGAGCCAATTGCTATTCCCAGCACTTTACTTGTATAAGCTCATTTAATTATCTCAACAGCTCCTTGAAGCGATGATGTTATTATCCCCATGATAAGAAACTTCAGAAAGAGAGGTTGAGCAATGTACACCAATTAAGACTGCAAGGAAAAGAACGTTCTAACCCAGTCTTCTCCAGGATCTACCCTCAGCCCCCGCCTGGATTGCCTCTTAGGGAAGGCAAACTACTGGAATTGTAAAGGCCTGAGCTCAAAATGAAGCCTGATTGTGTGGGTTGTGGCATTTTGAGCTAACTCATTAACTTATGTGTGCCTCAATTTCCTGACCTGTAACCTGGAAATATACCTATGAGAATTTAGTGCGATTACATATCTGAGGCACATAGAAAATAGAAGTCCCTTATTACATTTCCATCTATTCTCTTTTCTCCCATTAGTCTTCAAGACTAGGTTCAAATCTCACCTCCCTCTCAGGTCTTTCCAAATCTCTAATACCCAGAATTATTTACACAACAGAATTCAAAGGAATCACTCCATTTTTTTCTACAGGAAAATCCAATATTGTTTTTGCCAAATAGAAAACTTGAGGGCTGTAGATAAAATAGGCATGTGTGTATTTATGATATTTAATTCAACATTTTAGGTAAACAAATATTTATAAAAGTAAAGTTAGATATTAATGTATAAATACAGCCTTTCCATTCATATTTTATAAATAATTGTATTCAAATTTTAACATGGCACTTTGACATTAATGACCATCATGAAAGTCGCATTTTGAATTATCAGTGTTTTTTTTTTTCAGAGCATATTATTTTCACTTCTGTCTATACTTTACAGTATCTAACTTTTCTGAATCCTTTGATGATTTTGTCACTGGGAATTTTATTACAAAGCACAACTTCCCACTTGTTTTATATTGAGAAATTGTTTTTTCACATTCTTCTGAAATATGGAAATTAGTGACCTCCACCAGTTTTTGGTGTTTTGCTTTTTAAAAGGATGCTTGCACTAACATGGGACACTTAAAATTGTGAATCATGCCCCTATAAATAATTAACCTGTTTTCAATATCTTGGCCTCCTTGTATTTTAGACCTATTTTGTCAGATGACCTCTGTATATATCCTACACTAGTATTGATTGAGGATATTTTATGCTAGACTCCCCACTCCAATAATTTAGTAGTTTGCAGTTCAGATTAATGTACAATAATTGAAGGAAGGTAGAGATCCTGTGGTGCACATATTCTATGTAGCAGGCATAGTTATACATTATAAACTCTTTTAATCCACTCAGTAGGGCTGGGAGGTAGGAGCTATCATTATCTCCCTTTTTAGCCAGGGAAGAAACCAAGACACAGAAAAGTTATCTCATCAAAGAACTAACAAGCAGTGAATAAGGTAGAAAAGATTTGAGCCTAGATAAGGTGGATTCAAAGCCTATGCCTTAAACACTTCTGTGACTTTTAAAGTTTTGACCAAAGGAACCCCCTTTCGGATGCCTAATTTTGAGGTAAAAAATTATGTGCCTTATATTCAGGCATATACAACACTGTTTCTTGGATTTTCCCATTGCCCTTTGTTTTCACTGTTATTTGAGCATCTTTGTCAGTGGGCTTTGTATTGTGGATATTGAGAAGCTTTTCTTATTACTATTTGTATTCCAGAAGTACCATTACCTCTACTGGAGTACTCTTGTCAGTCTGCTTTGCATTATGGGTACTTGGCATTTTGTTATAAGTTTTAAAAGTTGCTTTGAAAGTTTTTTGATTTTTTTTAACTCTTTCTCACCACACCAGAATGGCTTAGTGGATGTCTACTGTATGGTAGACAAAAGAGCAGGGTGAAACATTCCATTAATTTGATTATTCATCAAAAGTTGATGGTATTATGGAATAAATTTATTTTAAAACATAAGTTTTTCAGAAATCATTAAGTGATATCAAGGAAAATGTGAACGTAAGTTTTCTTATAAAGCTAATATTTTAAAAACTCATTTTAGGCACTAGAGATTAGAGTATTTCATTAAAACTGATACAAATATTTTTATACTTTACTACTTTTGAAATGGGGATTCACCTTAAAATGAATTGCTGTTGTCCAGGCAGCAGTCATAGCATAGTTGACATTGCCTACGTGTTCATGAACTTGATCACAGATGTTTATGTTGTCATCATTTCATTTGTTACTTGCATTAACAGTGCTACATGTGTTGAGTTTAATTATCATTTGAAATGCCCTTGAAAAGATTACACTAGGCTTCTGCAGAAAGGCAAAAAAACAGAGCAGTGT